AAAAGAGTTGGGCTTTTACCATGACCAATAGCCACAAATCTGCATAGTAAAGGAATCCATTACAAAAAAAGCCGAGATCATAGTTGTAAAGGGATGATTATACTTACTTGGATGAGTAATGGTCAGATTTGGTTCTCTCTTGTCCTGAAGCAAAGACAAAGAAACATTTTGGGAAGTACATCTGCTTCACATTAAAGTCCTAGAACTCTGCTGTTTGATAGCGGCCAGCTTGGGAACACCATCACTGCTGGGTCTTTGACTTCTCTGCTGCTCCTTGACTAATTTATGAAGCAGGGCTGGAAAATACCAGGCCCAATGTCTGAACCCTCTGGGGTTCTTGAGAAGACCCTGCTTCCTTTCTGATGACACCATCATTTAGTACAGGGGTCCCCAAACTACAGCCCGCAGGCCGAACCCGGCCCGTTGAGGCCTTTGAACCGGCCCATGGCCAGTCCTGCCGCCGCGCCCACGCGATGCGGGGTGCCATTTTGTCGCGCGCACACAACTCCAGGCGCCATTTTGGAACACAAAATGAACTACTCCAAAAACTTCTTTGAAACTGAATTTAACCCTTGGCTGTAGAGGCTGCTCATGGCATTGTGAAGGCATATGACAGCTTGGGCTCCAGAATCACAGAAGCAGGTGTACTAGGCAGGTATAATTCTGAGATGCAAGCAGGGTCATCTGTTTAGCAGAGCAATGTTTATCTAGACAAAAGAAAAACAAAAACCAAACATCTTTTAAGGTATAGTAAATATTTATTTGCTTATTGATGATGATAAGGTTTGCTTTTAAGTTGTGTCCAATTTATGGTGACCCTAAGATAAACCTATCATGGGTTTTTCTTGGCAAGATTGGTTCAGAGGGGATTTGCCATTGTCTTTCTCTAAGGCTGAGAGAATGTGACTTGCCCAAGGTCATCTAGTAGGTTTCTAGGGAGATCAGGAATTTGAACCCTGGTTTCCCAAAGTCTTAATCCAGCATTCAAACCAGTGCACCATTCTGGTTCTCTTTACTGCTGTTTACATAATTTATGTCTTGGTTTGTATTTGTTCACTAATTAAAGGTTATTACCAGAATGATTTCAAGTGAAGTATTGACTCTCAATTGCCAAAGAAAAGTGATATTTTCTCTGATTTACTCACGCATGACTGTCTCCGTCAGTGTCACTCAAATTTTGTGTTGTGTACTTGCTTCTGCAAAGCTGCTTCTCTTAGACAACTTGTATTCCTATCAATCCTCATGGAATTGTTGTTGTTTGTTACTGAGTGCCCATGCTTTGCTTATCTACTCTGCAATCTTATACATGCCCATTCAGAAATAACTCTGAATGCACACGTAGGCTCCTACATTTGTAGAAAGTCAGGATGCCCAATGCCACTTCTCCTGCTCCCTCCCTGATAAATTCAACACTTGTCATGTTTTGGAGAACACCAGTCCCAAATACTAAAAATCTGTGTCTGCTCCATAGCCCCCCTGTCAACTTCCAATTTAAAAGTAACAGTACCAGCAGCATTATTACCTGAAACATATTTCATTATAGGCAACATAATTACTTGTATCACTTTACTTCCAAACTCCGAAGAGTCCTATTTGGTGAAGTGTTAGAAGAAAGTAGCCCAGAAGAGAGGGAAAAGGCAGGGATGGTCTCCCAGGAGAAGTCTTCAATCTTCCTTTTGTCTCTCCCATGTGCAGCCTGGGCCAGATCTCTGTTGAAATCATCCGGCACCGGGAGACCAAATGGCTGGACATGACTGCTCACTGGGAGAAAACCATGGCCCGGCGCTACAGAAAGGTAAGAGAGGCGCAGAAATTACTTCTGTAACTGGTCAATTTGTTGAACTCTAGAGCTTTAAAACATGAATTCCATTATGATCCTAGAATAGCTTTCACAAGGAGCTGCTTTCTATCTATGTATATATCTGTCTCTCCATCCGTCTTATACATGCACACATACACACACACACACAAACAACCTCAGCAGCTCAACTGTGTATTACATGGCTACTGTACTAGTATATGTTTTGAGTGGTTTAGCTGCATTCTCCTTCCCTCCCTCCTTGTGGCAGCAGATGGCTTCCATGTTAGGGAGACAGTGAATTTGCTCTGGGTTTTAAACTGGATTTCAAAGGAACAATCCAAGGTGCTGAATCAATTTTCTTTGCAGGATGCTTTAAAACTTTAAAAGTTCACACTGAAACCTGAAGCAGATTTACCACTCCACTGACATGGAAGTGACCAGCCCATGTATCCTCTACCTCATTTCCAGTAATATATTCCTGGCAACTTGTCCCATCATTAGTCTAGCAGTTGTACTTTGACATAAACTGCTATTTGTAATAGGTCTGCAAGGAAGCGCCATGTACAACATGCTAAGCTTACCTGAGCATAAATATAATCATGCCCAAATGATCTCCTCTGTCAAGAAGGCTGCGCATCTGGCATAGCTGCCTCAG